CAGCCGCCTGCTGTGGGGTTTGGCATCGCAGCCCGGCCTTCTTCTGCATTGACATTGTTTATTTGAAAAATGCATTTAGGTATTCTTTGAATTTAGCTTAAAAATATCCTTTCAGCTCGCTCTGTCCCACATACCTATGCTGCAGGCTGCAGAAATCTCCCCGGAAGAATTTATGTTCTGTCATCCTCAAGGGCTCACGCAGCGATGACGATGCTGGAAAGTTTCCTTTTCTTTTCCCTTTTTTAATTTTCCTTAAAGAAAGGCACAACATCTCCCGTCAGGAACAGCAGCTACACGTGGAACTGGAGGCAATACAAATTAGTTTAGGGGAATAGTCTAACATCTTTGTACACTCTGGATATAGATCTTTCTTTGCTGCGTGAGTGCATGGAGAGTCGGGGCTGTAGCTGACGCTGTATTTGGGATGGAGGGTTTGTGGGCCGGGGGGGGATCTGCAGATGGGCGAGGGGCTCCGTGTGCCTGAGCACAAACGCATCCCACCAGCGATGTGTTTGCAGCTGTAGGAAGGTGCAGCCGGGGGCAGAGACGAGGGTTTTCTGGCAGCTTTTCTGCTTGGCACGGTGCGCTGGGAGGTGGCACGAGTTTGTGCGTGCTCTGTCCGTGCTGACACTGGTGGGGTTGGACGGCTTTTCACGTTCCCCTTCCGAAGCACCCTTCCATCTTCCTCTTTGTCTTATAAAAGCCGGGGAAATAATTTGGTGCTTTTTTTTGTTTTTGGTTGACTCAAATCCCTTTGTCCCCAGCACGGCGAGCATTACAGGATCGAAATATTTGAGGGGAGCCATTTTAGTGGTCCCAGCCTGGAGCTGACAGAAGATTGCTCCTTCCTGCAGGGACAAGGCTGGGACAAGTCCTGCATCAACGCCCTCAAAGTGTACGGCGACGGCGCGTAAGTAACTGCACGTGTCCCGGCACGCAGCCGCGGCGGTGCTCCCTGCCCCAGCACCGCAGGGGAGCGAGGCAGCTGCAGAGACTCCCCCCACCATGGAAAAGCCTGTCGATGCTGGGGGGACTTGGAGAAAGCCCAAAAATGTGAGTTAAACCTATGGTTTAACAGTGAATTTTGGTGCCTGCCCATTGAGAGCTGCTTCAAAGGGGCATGATTTTTGGAGGGTGGCAGCTAAGCACAAGCTACAAGAGCTCTGAGACACCTTTTTAAGGTGTATGAAACAAGAAGCCTAAAACCAGGTTTTTTTTTTTTCCTTCTTTCTTTTTTTATGCATTTCTGTGCATGTTTCCAAACACCTCTTTAAAATCCACGCAGAGGCTTTTGGGGCTCCGGCTGATGCAGCTCAGGGCTTTTGCTTTGCAAGGGGCTTCACCGAGGCTTGCTGCAACGCCAGAAACCTCCTCCTTGGACAGCAAAAATGAAGCAGCGGCGTCTCACCTGAAAATTAAATCCTGCTTCTGAAAGACAGGGGCAACTGTGGTGGTGATGCAGTTTTGGTGATGGGGGTTTTTGGTCACCCTCGGTGCCTCGTGGACCTGCTTTGCAGATGCGTTACTGATGCTCAGCCCCATCCTCCTGCCGCCGCAGATGCTCCTGAATGCCTCGGCAGGACAGCAGCTTTGCCTTTTTCTTGCTTTTGGGTGGCAATTTACATTTTCGCGACGTGTTGGTCCTTTTCATGTTTTTTTTTCTCTTGTGAGACGGATTGTTATCTGGCTGTCTCCCCTTTCCTCAATTGTCCGACAATTGCATTTTCCCTGCCAGTGTTCTGGGAGCAGGGGAATGCCATAAAATCCTCCCAGAGCCAGGCAGAGGGTGGCTGGAGCAAGGCACGGGGCAGAGGGGAGCCCCTGCAGAGGAGGGAGCGCAGAAATGCTCTTCTCCGCCTGCCTGGACTGGATATTGCGCATCTCATCTGCACCCAGCGTGGGATGTTGGACCCTTTCTGTCCAAGAGCAATTATTTTCCCAGAATAGGAAAAAGGTTGTTGCCATCCAAGCTCGTGACATCCTGACAGCGAGTGTCCTGCAGGACTCTTTCTGATTCAGCCGAGACTTCTCCTCTTCCAAAAAACCAGGCTTATGATCAGGCAGTGGCAGTTCATTAAAACTAAGGAGCAGAGCTACCAGCTCCCGATGGGAAGAAGTGGCTGGAGCCCACCGGGGACACCGTTAGTGCTGAGCATTTGAAGCAAAAGGCATTTGAGTACCAACACTATAAAGCCAAGAGAGAGGCCGTGAGTGCTCTGGCAAGAGCTTTAGGGCCAATTATTTACCACACGTGTCCCTGTAGCAGAGCCTGGAGCTTGAGAAATTGGGAAGCTGCCCAGAAACTTTCAAGCACTTACATTTTTCAGATTGATTTTCCCCCTCCCCTACAAAATATCTAAGGGGCACAAAGCTTGCTTTCCCTCGCATGGGAGCCTAGACTGTTTATGTTAACATTACATGACTTCTCAAAGGCTTCGAGTAGCGATAAAAAAAATAGAAAAAAATAAAATACCGAGAGGAGCGTGGTGAGGAAACTCGCTGAGTTTTGTAGCATTACGTTCAGACCCCGGGAAGATGGTTATCGTAAGCACGTGGAAGGGTCTGTAAAGGCCGTTAAAAGGCAGGAGGGTGCAGAGGGACTTGCTGGCCCCGGGCTGCAGGAGGAGGGAGGGAAGGAGGAGATACCGCAGCAGAGAGACGAGACCAGGGAGGAGAAAGGGACCCTACGGCACCGCTTTTCTCCTTTGGATGGACCATATAAGCCCAGGTGACCCCAGAGGTGCTGCAGGTGTAGCTGCTGCTGGGCTCAGCCTGGCAAAGTCCTTCCAGGACCCATCCTCAACCATTTGGAGAGCGGAGGAGATGGGGTCACCGGAGATGAGGGGATTTTCAGCCACAGGCTGTCTCCAGCACATCCCCAGCCTGAAAGCAGGTCTGGTCTACCCTGTGCATGCTGAAAGCAGGCGTAAAGCAGGCTCCTCCTGAGCTCCCTGCCCGCCGAAGTCTCGCTCTGCGATTTTCCCCCTTAATTCCCATGCGACAATCCAATGCGACATCCGTTGGATACAGAAATATTTGCTTCCCCTTCAAAATTCGTGGATGGTGTCACGTGCTGTTAAAAAGCTGCTGCCTGCACATGTGGGGGTGGCCGTGCCTGCGGGAAGTGATGATGGATCAGCTGGAAACACGGGAATGGAGAGAAACGTCTGCCTTTGGCACGGTGCGTCGTGGGGCTGAGGGTGTCCAGCACCTTCCCCGCTGCCCTTTTGGGGCTGGTAACTGCTACCCCACACAGCCAGAAAGGCTGGTGATAAAGCTGTTAAAACCATGCTGGAGATGAGATTGCTATTTTGGAGCAATTTTGAGATGTTAACGCCTCCTTGGAAGCTGTTGCGGTTTGTGTGGCAAGTGGCTTTGCCCGTCCCAGGGGCAGAGCCAGCTCCGGTATCACATATGGGACCATCTGGTTTTAGATAAAGACATGTGCTTCTTGTCCTCCTTTGTGCCTCAGCCACTCCACAGAGGATTGCTTAGAAATAAGAACTTTAAAAAGCTGAATTTGTTTTACAGTCCGGGAGAGAATACCCCAAAAATGGCTTTTCTAAGCTACAGTGACGTAACTTGAAGGAACCAGACCAACCATTTATTCTGCTGAAGTGTTTATGATGTTTGGTAGATGTTCTGCAGTCAGGCTGTGAAATATCAACCAGAACAGGTACCCAAATGTTGCTGCTCGATAAACGTTACCTATTTCTCGGCAGAGGCGATAGCTGCTTGTGGCACTGCTCGAGTCCTACGTGGAGAATGACTGACCTCGAGCTCTACTGAAAGCATCCCGCGTGGTTCAGGCTGAAGCTGCAGTGCTCCCCTGCTAGTTTTTTCAGCGCGAGCAGCCAGTTTTGGCTTACAGGTCTTGCGCTGGTTCCATGCAAGTTTTATTCCCGTGTCCTCTGGGTTTATGTGCTAATGAAACACAGCTCCGAGATGTTTGAGGGCTGCGTGCTATGTGCCTGGATCAGCTCTCCCATGCTGGGCTTGAGGACAGGATCGTCTTTTTTTTTTTTTTTGTTCTGGGCTCCTGACTGACTTGATTTCCTCTCTCGCTGACGGTCTCGGAGAACGTAAATTTTAGGCAATAAAGGAACAGCTAAGTAAGTCATACAAGTCTTCACTCATCACCTTGCACTGCCAATACACTTCACTCCCATCTTTCTGCTATTCCTTTTATTCCTCTTTTTTGCAGCCTTCCCCTAAGCAGAGGAACAAGCTGGTGGGTTCTTACCACCCCACCAGGTCAGGCAGTCTGCTTCCATCTACCCCAAGGCCTGTCCCGTTCCCTCCACGTGACTGAGCAGACACATCAACTGTGGGTCTGGCGAGAAACACCAGGAAAAAGTGACTATGAGAGGCTGCTCTACCCCCTGCACTATTCCCCAGGGTCCACCAGTTGTTGAAAGATACCCTAGAGCAGAGCAGAGCTGGAAGAACCACCGAGTCCTCGTGGGCCAGCAACGCCCTGTGAACATCCCTGTCCTACCATCATGCAGTATTTTCAATGACGTTAGGTATTCTCAGCCGAAGGGAGTGATTGGAAGGTGCAGAAAATAATAGGATCTGGAGCTCTTTTCAGGAGTGCTTGAGGGAGGGATAGTGGAGAAAGAGGCCCAAAAATATGGAAAGGTACATATAAGCTGAAGGGATGGGGCAGAAAAGGAAGCAAGCCACGCGTGCCTTATGAACGAGGCTGGGGTGTATCTAGAGGAGAATAATTTTATAAATTGCTCTTAATTAAACTGAAGAGCTGAGCATGCTCTCCGACAGTGCACATCAGGATATGTGGTGGGGGGGACATGGCTTTGGGGCAACCTGCCATTACACTCACATGAGCAGCGGGCAGCCTTCTCCACGCCCTGCAAAGTGAGCTTTAAAGGAAAAGTCTGAGGATGACTTTGTAATTCCAGTTTGGATATAAACTGGCTGCAAAAAGTGCCAAAGAATGAACTTGTTTGTTTGCAGGAAACGCTCGGGATCCAAATGTCTTGGCTGAGCACATTGCAGCGATGCTGCAGAAAAGGGTTGTGCAAGTGCGGGCAGGAGGGTGGAGAGGGGCACCAGGCAGGCATGTGCTCAACGTGCTGGTCGTATCGGTGCCCAGGCAGATGGGAGAAGGAACCCACCACAGTCCCACCTGGTGTCCTCTCAGAAACACAAAATAAATCCAAATATGTCAAGGAATCTGTAAGGTGGCTTAACTAAATACTCTAACCTTTTGCTGTTTTTTTTTTTAAATAATGCCCGTGGGTGGCTGGTTTTATAAACAACTTTTTTCCTAGACTCCGGCTTTTTGCTCTGGGTCAGACTGATCTGAGTTCACCAGCTGTTGTCTGACCCTGGAGGCCCAGCAGCCTTTCACCCATCCAGTACTTAAAGGAGTTTCTCCCTGGAAATCCCACATACAGTAGGTCCCAACCCAGATGTCACAGCTGAATTCCTGGCAAGAGACAGACCACAGAAACCAAACGATTTGGAAGATTGCATTTGTGCTCTGCTGTCATTGCTGAGTCAATAGATGGGACAAGCAGCAGAGATCCTTATAAAATCCTTTAAAAAGTTGGGAAGAAAAGAATGAGGCAGATATGAGCAGTTCAGCAATGATGGGGTGGAAACCTGATTGTAAAACTATCAGAGCAATGGCAAAACTTGGTTAAAAAGCATGGGAAATTTAAATAGAGGAAAGAGGTGACATTTGTGGCCACATTAAGATCATGGCACAGTGTGTACTAAAGGGATGAAGGGAGAGAAGAGCAGCAAAATTTGTCGCTCTTGACCATCAGAATTGCTCCTGACTTGAAGACCTTCAAATGGAGAAAGACACGCCAAGAGACATGCCAACGGAGAAAGACGTAGCCAGGCTAGGTGAAGAAGTCAGGCATGCCAAAGTCACCAGGGTTGTTGAGTGTTGTATTTATTTGACTGTATTCCAAGGGAAAGTTGTAGTTAACTCTGGACGTAGAGATAAAGTGAAGATAACCGAGCCAACTCCTGCTCTCTGTTGGAAAGCATCAAAGAGAGGCCATTGAGAATTACTAGCAAAGAGAGAAATTATTAAATATGGTTCCCATCATAGCTAATGAGTCAGTTCAAAGAGGTAAAACATACTTCAAGCATTGCACATTTCTCCTTACAGTCCAAAATGGGTTTATCCAGGGGCACATGAGGGGACTCATGTCCATCTTGAGCACTATCAAATGTTATTGAATTGTTTCTGTTGCACATGGTGAAGCTCAGAGAGATCCACTCCTACAGCAATGTGAAGCGGGGAGCCCCTGGTCCTAGCCTTCATCGCTGGTGTAACCCAAAACAACTTCTTCTAAAGGCAAGGTCCAGTCTTGTGGTGGATAATTGCCAGGCTATGCTGGAAATGGGGGGAAGCACCAGCAGTTAACTCCACCGGGGGCATTTCTGTGCACAGGATGGGACCGGGACTGCAGAGGGACCATCGGGCCCCGGTAGTTTGCAGTACTGCAGTGTCTAAATGCAGCCACTGAATGTGGGCACAAGGCCACCTTGCATGACCACATTGTTGGGACCCAAGTAACCCTCCCTTTCTGCTCAGGTGGGTGCTGTACGAGGAGCCCAACTACCAAGGCCGTATGTACGTGGTGGAGCGGGGCGAGTTCAGCAGCTTCAATGAGTGGCAGGCGCGCAACGCAAGCGTCCAGTCCATCAGAAGAGTTGTCAACTACTTCTAGCTGAGCTTTCATCCTACCAGCGATGGCCTGCTGAGACCCGGCATCACCCTCCTCCCCACTCACTGACTTGTGGAATAAATTGTTAAACACCAGCTTTTGGCTCTAAGTACTTTTTTCCATCACTTGCATGAGTTCAAGACTTGCAACCTTTCCAAGCTTGATTTATGTGCTATGAAATTGCTTTTTTATTCTGCAGTGATTTATAAGGAGAACATGGGGGTGATGGGCTAGAACCGGTGGTGACAAGCAGATCTGGGAACATGCTCCCCGGTGCAGTTGTGGTCTGACACGTGTTCACTCTGCCCCGTCCAGGGCCACCACGTGATGGACCCAGCTGACTCCTGATGCCTGGAGGGGGTCATGTTGTTGCACACGTGCGTTGTGAGTGCAGGCACACAGCCGTCGGAAGGTCTGCTTGTGCCATGTGAGGACACACGTGAGGATCATGTCAAGATCTGACCGACTCGCGGGGTCTGTCTGAGCGCGGCGTGCTGGTCCTGATACGATGGTGCTAGAAATCATTCATCCTGAGTTACTTTGACCTTAGATCAGCACACATTAAAAAATATATTAAAAAATATTCCCTGAAAGCACAAAACCTGAGCAATCTTCTCTCCCTGATTCATAAGCCCTTCCACTGACAATGACATTTTGAGGGGGCGGCAGCAAAGAAAACCAGCCACAGCACTGTCACTTTCTGCACAACCCTCTTCCCATCCTTCTGCCCCTTTCAGTCCCAGTCCATCCCAGTTGTTTCGGTGCCCCCAAACCCCATGTGATGCTTGGCAGTCGGTATGGGAACAGCTCTGCCCGTTCAGCTATGGACCATCCACTACAGCCTGGGCGCTCCCCTTTGCATTCAGTGCCCAAAAGCCAGGTAGCCTCCTTTTGTAAAATCATAAGCTGTGTTCAGTATTAGCTAAGAGTGTTTCTGGCTACCTCAGAAAGGGGTAATTTTACTCTTTTCACTCCGTTATTCTATTAGCTGTTCAGGCTTGGCTGTCTGATGGATCCTGACAGGCACGGGCATGGTGCCGGCAGAGCTGCAAAGCTCTGTGTTAATCCGGTGGGAAGGCTGCTGACCTAACCACTGTCCCCAGCCCTTTGAAGGGACGTGAGCAAGGCTGACAGGTCCCCAGCACGCTGGAGCATGGGGGTGTGTGCCTTCAGGGCTGCTCTGCTTTGTGGGTCTGCAATGGGGTCCTGCCCTTCGCAGAGCGATCGGGAGGAGCAAGGGGTCCGTGCTCCGTGCTGGGGCAGGGGGCTGGTTGGTCCCATACTGCATCCCGCTCTGACACTGGATCCGGCTGTCATTTGATCAATTCACACTCATCTGCCTCGTAGTTCATCTTTCCAGTTAGAGCTTCTTGGCTGCCTGTCGCTTTCTACCAGTGACAGGACTGGGGCAACTGGGAACAACTGGGCCTGGGCCTGTGTGAGAAGGACACGTGCTGTTCCATCCACATGTGAGATGGAGTGGTACCGTTGGTAGAGTTGCGTCGATTGAGATTTGCCCCAGACGCACATATGCTATACATGTGTTACAGGGGGTATGGAAACACAAAAAAAATTCCACTTTGTGAATTTAACAACAGTTTGGGTGATGTTTGCCTTAGCAGCGATACAGGCAATTATGTCCTCTTGCGGACAGCCTTCGGTCTGGATGTCATCCTCTACTCAAATCATTGCAGAAGCACTACAGTTACACCGGATCAGCTCTGGACTTCAGTGGCCATGTCCTGGGTGGCTTGTGGTGACATGCGGTCCATTGAAGCCATGAAAATGTTTAAGCATCTTTAATGGATTGCAAGGTATTTCTGTGTCAGAGAAGAAGGCAGGGAAATGATTCATTCATTGAGTGGGATGCACAAATGTACAACTCCTGCATCAACTCTTGCGTATTTCATTTTCTTTTAATTAAATGCAACTTACAAAAGATTTTAGGAGTCCTTCCAGGATTAGAGTTGCTCTTGCTTCATGAAGCTCTAATCAGCTCCTGAGCTCAATGCACTCTATTAAAAGATAATATTCAGTCATATGCACTGCTCTCTGTTGTGACCTTCTGGCCATTAATCTGTTAAAAAACCCAGTTGTGATCCCACAGAAAGACAGGCATTGAATTGTGACCGGCTTTAAAGGAGGCTTTTCATTCACTTGAAGCACGTTCAATGTCACGGTGCAGCATGAAGGATAAAGAAACAAAGGCTTTAAAATATACACTAACTGGAATCTCAGATGCTCTAAGTAGTTGGAGGACGAAAGAAAAGAAAATAAAGAACAACCATCCACCCACATTCCCCTGAGGACAACAGCGTAAGCCCAGAAATCCACACACCTGGGTTTCTCCACACTTGGTGCACACAGCCAGGGGAGGTGACTGTCCCACTAATGTTGGGGTCCGACCTTCCATATCGCAGATATTCTACTGTATGGCTTCCAGTGTTCAGTGGTTCAACCTCCCTCCGTGCAGACCAGCCCTTAGAGGGCACTGACACCCCTCCCTGTCCTTAATGGGATACGTGGGACTGTGCACGTACACACAGATGTACAGGCTGACTCCAACATACAGCTACTGTGTGCAAGCCCACTTCATCTATACGCCTCAAACTCATCATTTGTTTATACGTTCTAGTAGATTAATATTTGTTATTTAAATTGTGGAAGTACTTAGGAGCTCCAATCCTGGACTGAAACCTGCTGCGCGCTAGGAGTTAAAAGCACAAAAAAGGCAGTCTGGTTAATTCGTGCTGTTGTGTGGAGTCTTGTTTGTAACTAGCTAGCGTTTAGCCACCTATAGCACATTTTCCGCATGTCCATAATATGCCTACAGACTAAATACTCATCATTTATTAACATCTGATATCCCATTTATGAACTCATTCTCAATGCAAAGAGCTAGTCTCATGTGATCACTATTTTAAAAAATCCTCTGTATGCAGAAGTCCAATATCGCTAAAAACGGGCAGCGGGGAATCGAATTCCATCTATTTTTTCTTGATTTCAAACCTAAGTAGGGTGGCCATGGGCCTAATCCAAACACTGATGCTGCAGGAACATGCATTGCGTTGGCAGCGGGGGGATGTGGCTCTCCTTCTCTTCCTTTTCCCTCCCCCTCCTTGCTAAATCTGCACTTGTTTAAAGGACAGAACGTACAGATCCCATATGTTTGCTAGTGGTTAGGTTTTTTTTTTTTTTTTAGAATTATTGACATTGCTCTAGTATGAAATGGTATGATTTGTGAGTTTATAGCATATAAAATATAAATGACAAAAATGCCAGCTTGATGTGAAGTGGATGTGAGATTGTGCAGCAGAGATTTGAGCTGTATGTCATTAAACTGTATGGCTGAATGAGTTCTGCTGCATGCACCGAGGAGGCAAGCAATGGATTAAATAAATTGGAAACTATTCTACAAAATGCTAGAGATAAAACAGGGATTCAAAAATGAGCAAAAGGGACAAGTTATTAATTACAAGAGAGAGAACTAAATGAAATCAGCTCCATCTGGAAAACCAGGAAAGCCCTAATCATCAGCATTACTGGGCTTGGCCAGGCTGCTGCAGTGTAATATTCAGAATAACTTTGAATTACATCTGGCCCCAAAGCAAATAGCTCCTGCCAGAATGCCTGCATACACAAATGTCCTTTCTCTGTAGCTGGATAATGTGGGAATTTGCTGGAATATCTCTTTCAAATGAATCCTTGGAAGATATCTGAGCAACAGCAGTACTTTTGCATTGCTATACTTCCCAGTACACGTATATATAGTGAAGGTGAGGAGGAAATTGCCTGCTGATCCACTGTTGGCATGCTTGAATCTCTACTAACTGCTGACTCAGGCGAATGGGCTGCAGAGCCACCTCCCTTCCCCGGGGACTTCAAGAGGCTTTATCCTGCTATTGAGGCCACCCTGTGCTTTCTTCTCTCCTCCTCCAGAGACACCTCTCTGGACCTGGTGAAAATGAATTCACTCCTTGGTGTCTTCTAGAGCTGTTTTATTAGTTCTTTAAGTAGAAAGGCTTGCTCAACAGTGACCTCTTTGATTGCAGAAAAGAAACAAACAGCTTCAAAGGACATCCCTGACCCCTGGCACCAGGAGAAGAGCCATGGTCACTGTTAAAGCCTGAGCAATGACAGGGTGAAAATGTAGAGGGGACACATCTTTGTACTCTGGAAGCGTTGACAGATATCCTGGCTCCCATGCTTCGCTTGGTTCATTTTTAGCTTTCTTTTCCCTGTTGTACTGAAGTCAAGGGAAAATTAACTTGAGTGAAAACAGGTTTGGCTTTGAAATTTTTACTATTCATGGGCTCAAACTCTTGTCCAGGAGTAAATCTGATATAGCTAACAAGTCCTTGAATCAGATTATATCTGCCTGATGTGGTCAGCGTCTTCAGCATTGTAAATGGTGGTTTGTTTTGGTTTTTAATTTTAAATCATCTGGTTTATTGGAGAGGTTAAATTCAGTTAAATCAACCTCCAATAGTTGAGACTCATGTAGGCTGGTGTCCTCTTGTTCCAAGAGTGACCATTCAATCAGCAGAGGAGGTGCAATAACATCTCACACAATTTGAGCTGTTCCCATATTTACTGTTGGCTATGAAGGAACCCAAACATGCATGGAAGAAAGCAGAAAAGGACAGAAGCAAAATGTGTATTAATTTTCCACGGAGCAACAGAAACACTGAAGAAAAAGCAAACGGGTGCACCACGTTTTCCATGGACAGGTGACCATCTTTATGTGGTTCGGCATAAGTCATTTTGTAATCAAGTCAAGCTGTCCCTGTTTAAGCATGTTAACATATGGGGGAATGTACCAGTGTATTCAGTCAAATTGTGCTTGAAGCAAACATGAAATCATATTGAAATTGTTAATGCAAATTCCTTCTTTAAATATGACGGTCTCTTGTGGACTGCGGTAAATCCGCACTTTGCGTAGGCATTCACACCTGCACTCACACAGTCCAAAATGCACTGAATGCTTCCTCTCAAGCAGAATG